AAGTAGATACGGTAATAATAAAAAAAAAAAAGAAAAAAAAAATCAGTTTGACTCCAAACCCATCTGCCTGTCTAGACAGATAGTGCCAAGCTCCTGTCTGCTAAGAAGTATCTTCTTAATAATGCTGTATTAATGCTAGTACTTTTATAGTACTTGCCATTTTTCAAAGTGCTGTGCCCAGCTAATTCATCGTTGGCTGGACTTAAGACGGCTTTCTGCTGAGTTTGATAGCATTTTTGTGTCTTGCTTTTCTGTTATGTGCTATTTTGAATGCCATGTCCAATCAATTAGGCAATCACAAGAATGTTTTAGGCATCAGTTCCCAGAGCTGGGCAATAATCCTTGTCCCTGTTCTTCCAGGGTTGCCTATTCATCTTTTCCTGGCAGAGACCATGTGTCTCCCCATTCCTCTCCCCTATAAAAAAAGTCCTTGTAGTGGCCAAATGCTTTGCACAGGCCTGCTTTCCTTACGACTGTTTTCCTCTTGAGTAGAACCCCATGGGGAAGGGGTGTGTGTGTGTTGGCACCTTCTCCTTCCCCACCTTTAATTTACCTGCTTCATGTTTGCTATTATTCTTCTGTGGCTTTTTCTTCCTCCCTTTGAAGGGCTTTCCCAAGGTAGTTGCAATTGTTCATCAAAGGTGAGAAACTGGAGCAGCAAAAGGGGTGTATGGATAGAGAAGAGAACGGAAGGCAGAACTTTGCACCTATTTTATCCCCTTCCCCAGCTATGTGTCATTCTCCTCAGTGACTCTGACTCTTGCTCATACAGCTGGGTCCTGCCATCTCAATAGAGAAAATGGAGAAAATGTGGGGAAGGTATATGGTATGAGGGGAAGGAAACTGCTTTAGAGGGAAGATGAAGAGATGCCTCTTGAAAGGGCTGTGGAGGAATAGATGGTTGGGAAATCCCTGGCCAATAGGTATGGTGCTAATAGGGAGAGGGGGAGAATGGGCCAGACTGGAGAAGAGGAAAGGGGATGGTGTAACAGGAGCAGGCTGGGAGAGGTGTTCTGCAGTCACTGGAATGGAGAAGAGATGGTGTGTGGGTCCTTCCCCAGCTATGTGTCATTCTCCTTAGTGACTGACTCTTGCTCATACAGCTGGGTCCTGCCATCTCAATAGAGAAAATGGAGAAAATGTGGGGAAGGTATATGGTATGAGGGGAAGGAAACTGCTTTAGAGGGAAGATGAAGAGATGCCTCTTGAAAGGGCTGTGGAGGAATAGATGGTTGGGAAATCCCTGGCCAATAGGTATGGTGCTAATAGGGAGAGGGGGAGAATGGGCCAGACTGGAGAAGAGGAAAGGGGATGGTGTAACAGGAGCAGGCTGGGAGAGGTGTTCTGCAGTCACTGGAATGGAGAAGAGATGGTGTGTGGGAGCTCATGTCTAGAGCAGCAGGGTGTGGGGGGTTCAAAGCCCGTGTGTTCAGAGAGACTGCCAGTGTGTGGCATCCCACCTGCATCCCACCCAAGCTGGTCCTGTTTTTAAATAAGCAGAATGTAGGGCTGCCTGACTTGCTGTCAGCAGGGCCCTTTGTGAAGGTGAGAAGGGACTGCCTTGGGCTGCACCAAGCCTGCTGTGTTGGGAGGGGAGATGAATGGAACTCAGATGGAACCATTTGCTCCTGACATTTAGCTGTGAAGCACCACCTCCAGAAAGAAAAGAAAGTAGCAAAAATAAAGTTATTGTCCCATAGCAAGGCAGGAGATCAGTCTCTTCTCGTGCTACCTGGACTTCTCATCCAGTGTCTTCCTTTTCTGTAAATGGACACTGTGTTAATTCCCGTGAAGTGCAGGGGGATCATTAACATTTCCCACCTTTGTAAGACGAGTATGGATTTAGGCTTGCTATAAATTACTGAAAAAAACATTAAAAAAAATTAAAATGCTGATTCATGGAAACCTAAGCTTCCTTGGAGCTTCCTTCTGACAGAAGTCATGGCAGGTTGGGCAAAAAAACCACTTTGGAATTAGAAATTAACATTTGAAAATTAAAAAAAAATACTGTGTTGAGAGCCCTGAAACTTAGGCCTCTATTGGTAGCCCAGAGGTACCAGCTGCCTTTAATCCGTTGCGAAGATTTCTTGTTTGTAGGAGCAGCCTGTTAATACCATTTGATGCTTTGAGGTTAAATCAGTGTGCTGGAAGCCTTCTAGAGCCTCAGATGAAAGATGCCATTACGTATGCAGAATATCCACAAAAGGGATCACAGAGAATAGTGTAACTGTGGGGTAAATCTGCCTGCAGTACTGCTCAAGGATGACATGGGTGGCTGGGGACCACTAATACTCCTGTGATGTGTCTGCATAAAAGTGATGTCAACACCTTCCTCTGTAATGGGCAGTGCAAGAGCTGCCAAAGATTGAGCTGGGAAATTCTTACTGTTTTTTTCACAAATATTTCTTGAGTCTCCTAGTTTGCTTTTGAGACTCAGTTTGATTCAGAGCAAGTCAGTCCTTTTCTTACTTTCCTTTTGTTTTGTTTTTTTGGTTTTTTTTTTTTTTTTTCAAATCAAATCTTGTTAACTCTAATGTGCGACTTAGCTGTCAAGTCCATTCTCTTGTGATTTGTGATGGCTTCCAGAGCTCCTGGTGGAAAAGAGTATACAAGTCTTGTTATTTCAACTGTGTGACCAAAGGTATGCCCTCTCTTAGCTGGTGGCATGCATTTTCCTTTTGAACTCTCCTTCTCAGGCACATTACAGTGTGCCAGATCTGCTCAACAGCACTCTGGCATAGCAGGTGAAGAGGGTGGTGTGTGGCTGGCTACAATTCCATGTGAAATACAGAACAGCACAGTTTTGCAGATCTGAGAAATGCTGTGCTTCTGCCTACTGTCAAAACCTACTTCTCTTCTTAAATCCCCCAGAGATGCTGCTAATTAAAAGAGCTGTTCCCTGCCCCTCCCTCTCCCCTTGATTCATGTCAGAGCCCTGAGTATGATTTGGATCTCATAAGTTTTGGGAGCTCTTTAAGTTCCCTATCTAAAGAGAGAATAAGCCTCATTTATCCACTTGGCTGTACCAGGATTGAAGGTGCAGCATCAGACCGTGTTCATCTGTGGCACTTCTGCAGCCAAGCCATCACTGCCCTTCCTGTGGTCAATTCCTCCTCCAGAAAAGAGCAAGTTCAGCTGCTTCTGGTCCCCCAGAGAAGAAATGAGCATTGCTTCTGATCATGGTGATGCAGCATTCTCAAACCCAGCAGCCACTCACTCCTGTGTGTATAGAGGGGAGAAGTCAGTTTTGTGCTCTAAGAGGAGCTATATATTTACCACATTGGAATGGTGCAAGTAGGAATAATCCCCTCCCAAACTGCTTTTGTATGCACTACAAATTTTTGATGCTTTCTGACACGTGGCATGTTGTGGTCTGTACTGGAGTACAAACTTCAAAGTCATCTTCGGTTTTACATTATCCCTTTTGGATCAGGAGTTGATGTGCAACAGGACTTTTATTTTTTTACATTTTGGCAATCTTCTGGAGGGAAATACGGTTCATATTTTAAGAACATGTAGTTTGTCACTGAAAATTAAAATTGAAAAGACTGGTAACATGCCCCCCCCCATCAAAACCCCCACATGTAATTCGAAGCCAGACCTTGCCAGCTCACAGCTTGCTGCTCTTAAGTTGACAGGGAGCTTCTCAATCGCAAGGGTTTGCCTGAAATTGCTGCAGCTGTACTGATCTCTCTAAATACACGGATTCATTTAGCTGAGCCAAAAACCGGCCGAATCCCTCCGGACACAGGTGGGGATCCCTGTGCTGGCGGAGTGGCTCTGTGCGATGCCCGGGGAGCAGCTTGCGGTGTAGGGCAGGGAAGTAGGGCAGGCTGCCTCCACAAACCTGCTGGCATCCAGCTTCAGCCGCTCTCCCCTGCGTACAGTTCTTTTTTTTTTTTTTTTTTTTTTTTTCTCCTTTTTTTTTTTTTTTTTTTTTTTTTCTCCTTTTTTTTTTTTTTTTTTTTTTTTTCTCCTTTTTTTTTTTTTTTTTTTTTTTTTCCCCTTTCCTTTTTCCCTCCCTCTCGCCGGAGGAGCCTCGGCAGCCCTGATTTGCTGGGGAGCGGCGGAGGCTCGCTCTGGGCAGAGCCGGGCTGCGCTGCCGCTGCTGACGCGTGGCCGCCGCCGCGCCGGGAGCAGCCCCGCGCCCGCCGCCCCCGCCGCTCCGCTCCGCGGCCGAGGAACCTCCGCGCCGCTCCGGCCCCGCTGCCTGCGGTGCCCTCCCCGCAGCGGGGAGCTGAGGGTATGCCCGGGGGGGCGGCGGCAGATTGCATCTCCCCCTTTTTATAGCCTATGCGTATTTATTTTTACATATGTGTGTGTGTATATATAGACATATATATATAAATATATATGTCTATATATATTTGCATCATTTTTAGGAGCCATTTTTAAGTTGGGGGGGGCGGCGTGTGCGTGCGGCCAGGCTGCCTGGGGGAGCCGGGGCAGGCAGCGAGCGGTGCCCCCCGCACAGCGGGGAGGGCGGCGGAGGCTCTGCGGGGACACACACAGGCTCGGCTGCTCCCGCCGCAGCTCTGCCGGGCGGCCGAGGGTGGGAGGGCGATTGCAATTTTAATTTTTTTCAGGACGATACGCATTTCTGTGGGAAACTTCTGTAGGCGGCAGAGGCACGGCGGAGGGGGGCGGGCGAGGCGCGTGGCGTGGTGGGGCGCACCCCGAGCCCCCCTAGGGCCGTGCCTGCCCCCGTGCCCCGCTCACCTGGGGGACACAACACCTGGGCGGCGCAGGGGCCCGGCCGGGGCTGCGCTGCTCGCCGTGGGGGGGTTACCCCCTACCCCCCCGCCCCGGGCCGTGGCTTCTGCAATGCGGTGGGTGTGGTTATGCACGGAGCACATCGCAGCCCCGGACCGCTGCAGTGGCAGCACCGCGCCGGCCCCCTCCCTGCCGGCAGCGAGGGGCCCCGCCGGGCCGGGCTGCCCCGCTCCGCCCCGCGCCGCGCGGATCGCGCCTCCCTGCCTGCCCGACACGGCGCGGGCTCCCAGGTGCTCGGCAGCGCGGCTCGGACGCTGGAACCCCTCACTGTTCCCCATCCCTACTCCTGGCCCCGCGGAGCGCGGCGTGGAAGTGTCGGTGCTCGGCCAGGTCTGTGGGGAAAGGGGAATAGAGAAGGCGCGGGTGCGACCAGCGTGAGGGCTGAGCGGGTCCGTCGGTGCTCCCGCATCCCGGGTGCGGCCCCGCGCCCTTGGGCTGCCAGAGAGGGACCGGGGCGGGTCGGTGGGAAAGGATTTTCTCCTTTTCGGTTGTCCCATTTTTCATTCAAAGGCGAAACTTCATCACATGTAGCGAGAAGCTTAAAAACTTGCACTCCTGTGGAAATCGCAATAGCAAATCATCCCTGTCTGGCCTTGTGCTGTCTTGATTTAATTTCTCTTGGGGCTGTGCTGGAGGAGGAAAGCGGTTGTTACTCTCACCACTGTTCTCCGGTGTGTGCCCCTGTTTGAGATGGAAACTGTTTCCTCCACTGAACATGCACGTTGCTTCGAAGTTGAAGGGAAACTACTTACAATGTTAGAGGTCTTTTCTGTCAAAATGATTGAAAGTCAGAGACCTGCTTGCCAAAAAAACAAAACAAAAAAAAACCCAAAAAAACAAAAAAAAAAAACAAAAAAAAAAAAACAAAAAAAAAAAACCAACGACCCGCTTGCCAAAAAAAACAAAACAAAACAAACAAAAAAAAAAAAAAAAACAAAAAAACAAAAAAAAAACAAAAACCAAAAGACTCCTTTTAAGTGGCTTCACTGGTTACGTGTGTCCCATGCACATCTGTTCTTTTACAGCCTGGTGAGCTGAGTGATACCTTTTTATTTTACTTTTAGTGTTGTCAGCAATTATCTCTGTCCATAGAAAACTGAAAGGTTTGTATAAAGAAAACAAGTATTACTAAATCCCATTAAAAATAAGAATATAAGCAAACTACATAAGGCTTGGACCAGTAAAGGTCAGATGCAGTTGAATGTGTGCTTTTTCTCTAATTCTATGGAGAAGAGTCCTTTCACAGAGTATTAAAAGGTCAAGATCATCATGCAGCATCAATGATGTTGTTAAATTCACTGCTCTTGCTGCACCTCTGAGTGTGTACATGCATAATAGAGTATAGGCAAATACTGCTATGCTGGTCTCCTTGGGTTGGAAAGTTTCAGCTCTAGTGTGAGGATGAGACCTGCATGGCAATCAGGGGAGGAGAGGAGAGCCTGAGAGCACTGCATTGGGGTAAGAGCTGCTGGAAGTTTATTCCTTATGGCACTGCATGAACATGAAGGCTCCTTGAGCTGCTGGCATGCTGTAGACCTGCTTGCTGCAGCAGAGAACACGACACACATCGGGAAACATTAAAAATACGCTGGTTCTATTTTATGAGACCAGTACAGCCCTGGCCTCTCCCGTCACTAATTGCCTGCAGTCGCATCCCTCTGTTAGTGGTGCAGCTGATGGCCTTTTCTCCCCGAAGGCTTCCCCATAGGATGAGGAGCTGCTCGGATGCGCATCAGGAGCTCATCCCATGGGAGCCCGCTGCTGCGGTGGGCAGGTTTAGCCTTGAGGAGGAGCTGCGGGGGAGGGGGGGTGCAGGGTGTGGCACCCATCCCCAGCCTCCCCCTGCGCCTCTGCTTGGCGGCTCCTCACTGGGCAGGGCTGTGTCTGACTGCTGGAGAGCTGCACCAAAGCTGGAGAGGGCTGGTTTGGGTTGGGGCTCTGTTCTCTCTTCCGAGAAGGAGCAAGTGAAGGTGAAGCTACAACTTACGTAATTTTTCATTTAATTGGGATGAAGTCTTTTCTTGTCTGTAGTGGAAACCTGCTGAATATTTAGTCTTTAATGAGAAATAATTGTTATTCAGAGATTTTCTTTGAAATCTAAAGGGGTAGGTGATAGTAGATTTGTCCCACAGCAGCGTGGTCGCATCTATGTTTGTTGTGTTTGTTGTTTGATGTGTGCTTGTGAGTTTCATGGGGGTTATGCATGGTTGTTTTCTTAAAATATGTAAAATGTCACTTCTTTGTATTTCAGGCATGATTTTGACTTAACAGAAAGTTCTTGAAATGTGTTAAATGTGTTATTCACGGTGGGTGACATTCAGACTTGTTTCATGGAAATCTCATGTACCAGTAAATGACTGCTTGTTGTCTGAGGGAAAACATCAAACCATTTATAAGTGGTTATAAAAGACTTCTTGTCTCTCATGAGATGAAGCATCAGCTTTATTTCTTGGGCTACAGCATTTTCAACACAAAAGTGTGAAACTATGTGACTTTGTCACATCAAAATACATCCTTGGCTGAGAATCTCTGTGTGTTCTGTGCATGTTTAATATAAGTTGGGCTTTGAAAACAAAGAGTCAGTCTATGCAGGAAGGGCTGTTGTGAGTCTGCAGGATTGTGTTTTTTCAATGTGTATAGCATGGCACTAGGATTTTGTGGTTTAGCATCTTATTTATCACATATTTACAGGAAATATTTTATGACTGCAGTGTTTGAATGTTCAAAGTGTTTTGTTCAAACAAAATTTCTCTCTAATCAAGTGAGTATAAATGCATGCATATAACTGAAAAATATGATTGCTGTCAACTAAGCTGAAAATTAGACTGAAAAAGTGTTTATTCTGGATGATGGATTGCTTCTATTTTGTACAAAAGTTGTAGAGTATAAGAGTGTTACCCAGAACTAGACTTAAATAAGCATCACTAAGCAGTTTGAGTCAGTAGCATAAAGGAAGTCTTTAAAAGAGATGAACCACTGGAAGAATGATAGATTAGCTAGCTTTTATAGCATGTTTCTCTAAATTTTCAATCTCCAGTGTTAGCCATTTATAATGGTTGGGGAATGGTCCAGGTCTAAATGAGTATATGGACACATTGCACTGCCTCTTTCAATAGCTGGCTTGAAACACCCAAAGAGAAAGGCTAGTTTTCTTTGGGAAGATCTCAATTTCTTAAAGGGAACAGCCTAGGTAGTGGAGAAGAGGAGCGTAAGCACTTTCCGTGGCTTTGGTAAGAGAAAACCTACAGGCCCTTTGCTCCCTCCCCTGCCACTCTCAATTGTTGTCACCATCACCATCAGTGCAGAGGAAGCTCCGGAGGATTGCTGAGGATGAGTACCTCTGGAAAAGCAGAAATGGGTCAGTATTTGGGACAACTGAGTGACAGTGTGCTGTATAGACAGCAAAATCAGTATCTCCTGCACCTTTCCTAGTAATTGATATAATACAATTTGAGTAATTGTCAGCTTTTTGTCTCTGGGGGAAAATGAAATCTTTAAATTTTACTTCATCTTTGTATCAGCGGAACTGGCTGTTCTTGAATAAAGTGGGTAAAAGCAAAAATGAAATGATATTCTATTAAATCATGAATCTATTTGCATCCTATGGGATGCAGTATATGAAAGAGTATTACATAAATGAAAGTTTAAAAAGTACACAGAACAAAAAAAAAAATTGGGGGGGGGGGGGGAAGAGCTTTTCTACAGAGACCTCATCAATTTTTACCCTTTCCTTTATAGATCTTGGAAATACTTGGTGTGCCACAGATAGACTCCTTTTAAGTGGCTTCACTATCTATCAAAACTGATCTGTTGGCAAGCTGAGAAACAAAAGAAGTACAGAAATCTGCATGAGGATCACCCACCAGATGTTTGATCCCATTGAGAAAAGTCTTTCAGTTTAAAGGGTTAAAGAAAAACGTGGAAACTGGGGACTCGGAGCATGTGTTGGGGATAAAGGGCTAGAATAAATGGAAAGCAGATGTTAATATAAAAAAATATATTTTCAGGAAGGGTAAGGGAATGTGAAGAGAAAAAAGCAGGATACAATTCTGAATACCTGCTCATGTGTGGGTATTTGTATGAAACAGATGTTTATTGGCAAATGGAACAGGGGGAAGCATTGCTCTGTCACAGCATTGCTCTGTTATGTGAGTCTTGGGAGAAGAAAGCTCCTGTGTGAAATAGAGAATGGTTGATGATTCTAATTTAGGGCTATGTTAAATTTGGGACTGCCAAGGTGTAGCACGTGCCCATTGCCTGGCTTTTACTGCAGCCTTTTTCCCATAAGGAAGGAGTTGTTTTTTTTGTTCCCAGGTGGGCTGCAGCTAGCACGTGAGTGAATAATTTGAGGTGGCAACAGCTGACCCTGGTGGGTTTTTGTTTGGAGCCCTGTGGATGAACAGTGGGATGTTCATGGGATAGAGGTAGGGAAAACACCTGGCCCTGTCCATATCAGACCAAGGCACACTTAGGCCTGTGGTTTTCTTCTGCTCTGTAGTCATGCCCTGCTCCTCCAGTTCAGGCTCTTCCCCATCACTCCCCCTGCATGTGCCCTTTCCCTGGCTGCAGTCACTGGTGGGGTCCCCCTGTTGTTGGGCTCCTTGGTGGAATCCCTGCTGGAACCTGATCCTCTGGCACTCTCCATTTTTCCCATCACCCAAGAAAGTGGCCAAGTACCTGCCCTGCTTTTCCTCCTCCTCATTTGGGATTATTCCTTCATATTCCTCATCCTCAGAGCTTCATCCCTTGCAGCGCAGTCACAGCACTCTCCACCTCCCTGGCGGAGGTAAGTCCTGGGAGACAGCCGCATGCTGGGGTGCACCAGCAGCCTCTTCCCTGGTGGCAGGAGGTGGCACCACTCATGGCATCCAGAGAACTTGACACTGCTGTTAGCAGTGGAGCAGGAGGACTCCCTGGTGGTGGAGGTTACTTTGTTTAGTCCTTATGAATCTGAGGGCAATTATGTGTAACACCTCCGGTTCCCTAGGATGTACTGGCTGCAAATAAAATCTAGTTTAATAAGCCAGGAAATGTAAACAGGCTGTGAAGAACAGAAGAAGAAAAAAAAAAAAAAAAAAACCAACCAAAAAAACACACCAGCTCTTCCAGACCTAGGAAACGTATGTTTATACTAACTGAGAGACCTGTTCTTGCACCCTGACTCATGTCGGGGAGTATCTTAGTCCGTCAGTCTTCCCACGGAAATTGGTAAGCCTGGCTGTGAAGCAAGTCTCAGTTTGGTTTAGATTGAGGCATCAAAATCTGACCCAACCAAATTGTAGCTTGGGTCAGGAAGGTGAAATCTTTCTAAGGACACTGGAAATGATTAC